TACCACACATTGATGTGCTCGTAGACAACACATCTACGAATACAATTTTCTCATTTATGGATGGATATTCGGGATATAACTAGATCAAGATGGCCATCGAAGATCAAGAGAAGACTTCTTTCATGTCGCCACCCGCCGAAACGGACATTGGCATTCGCGACGATGGTCGGACTCTTTTTAGTTTTGAAAAATGATGGATTGTTAGAACGACTTATTCTCAAACTGAGACCTCATCGAACTAACAATTTTGTTAAATAATTCTCACCAATCCTAGGCAACACACACACAATCATAACAAATACCACACAAGTTACACATATCCAAGCACAACTCTTAAGTTATAGATACATCATAACACATACATTCACTTATCATGCAAAATTCATAAATGTATGCATGTGGCGCCATACGAAAGTTGCACATTTCTCATCATTAGTATGCTGCTACAGCAACATACCTGAGGACGCTTTCATTCATTAATACATCACTAGTGATCAAAGGTACACCTGGAATAGCTCAATATATCACTGGTGACCTAAGGTACACCTGAAATAGCTCAATACATCACTAGCATGCGGCCTTAGCAACACACCTGCAATAGCTCAATACATCACTAGTGACCCAAGGTACACTTGAAATAGCTCAATACATCACTGGCATGCAGCCTAAGTGGCACACTTAGAATAACTAAATACATCACTAGTGACTCAAGATACACCTGGAATAGCTCAATACATTATTGGCATGCAGCCTAAGCGGCATTAACAGGTTGATTGTAGAAAATGCGTGAAATCATGAAGTTGAATCTATGGCCTTTATGCTTCATATGTTATGAATTGCGAATTGAATGGGTATGATGTTGGATAATTTCTTGGTATGATTTATGTACTATTTTGATGTATATGACTGTGAGAAGTTCCTTGTATGAGACTATGTGAATATGACGTGAAAAGTGAACATGCGATCTGTGATATGATATTATGATATGATATTATGAGATAATGTGTCATGGGATATGATGAGACATTATAAGTGAAATGTTGAGTCAATAAAATAGTGAATGTGTGACATGCATCATGTGCATATATGACTCCAAGTGTGCCGCTTAGGCTGCATGCCAATAATGTATTGAGCTATTCCAGGTGTATCTTGAGTCACTAGTGATGTATTTAGTTATTCTAAGTGTGCCACTTAGGCTGCATGCCAGTGATGTATTGAGCTATTTCAAGTGTACCTTGGGTCACTAGTGATGTATTGAGCTATTGCAGGTGTGTTGCTAAGGCCGCATGCTAGTGATGTATTGAGCTATTTCAGGTGTACCTGTGAAATGTTGAGTCAATAAAATAGTGAATGTGTGACATGCATCATGTGCATATATGACTCCAAGTGTGCCGCTTAGGCTGCATGCCAATAATGTATTGAGCTATTCCAGGTGTATCTTGAGTCACTAGTGATGTATTTAGTTATTCTAAAATTGTCCAAGTGTAAATGAAAATTCATCAATTTGACTTTATAAAATCTAGAACTTAAGCTTATTCTACCTTACTAACAATTCTTTTTCCCAATAATTGTTTGTGTTTTATACTTTATTTTCATATAAAATAACTTTTTTTTAATCTTAAGTATATGATTATAAATTATCAAGATTAAAATTGAATAAAATTAATATTATATGATAAATCGTCACACTTAAAATATGCATTATAATTCAAGTCACAAATCATAATATCAAACTTAAAAATATATCTTAATTTCATATTACAAGTTATATTATTATTTTTATATTTTTTCAATTATTTAAAAATACTTTATGATACCATATGATAAATAAATATCTGATTTATTTTTATAATAAATATCTTAATGAAAAATTGTCATCTAAATATATTATTTGTGGTTTAGAGTAGTACAATAAATTATTTTATCATTGTTACGGATTGAATTGTGTAGTACTTTTAATTTTTTATTTGTAATTATTAAAAAATAATTAATTCATACTTTAAGTTATTTAAGATTTAACTTATTGTATAAGATTTGATCAAAATTATACAAGTATATGTTATGTTGTTTGATAATAATAAATTTGACAAGAAATTAATGTTAATGAAGTAATCTTAATATTAATAAGTCACATTTATAAATTTAAAAATTATACTTGCAATTAATTAATTATCTCTATAATACTAGCCTTATTTCGTTTATACAAGTTATACTCTTTGTTTCTTTTTTCACAAAAACTATTTTTAAAAGAAAAGTATGCCTAATTTTTTTATGATATAACTATAAGTTTTTAAAAGAAATAATAGGCTATAATGAAAATGAGAGAGGTTCTAATTTGAAGAACCCTTAATTATAACATTTATAAATAACACAAAAATTAAAATTTATTAAATATTTGAATAATTTATATAT